TACACAGGATCTCAGAGGACTGTGACTGTGGAGGTGGGATGTTTGCACCGACACAGCTATCTGGATGATTTCAGTAAAATCCCCACCAAACCTGCCCCCACTATTGATCAGTCAGTATCACATACAGATAAAACAGCACTAATGACAGACCTCCTGCAGTCAGTACCGTAATCTCTGGACTATAAGCCGCTAATTTTTGGTCAGAGCAGAGTTTATGGACTTGACTCCATCAAGTTTTAGTAGCTATAGAACCCTTGTTAATTGTCAAAACAGACTGGTGAATGTATACTGGCATCTCATCAGTACATGTGACCAATTAAACCAGTCGTCGATCTTCTACCTATCCACACAAAAACCTGCCGCTTATATTCAGGTGCGGCCTATATGTGGATAAAATTGATTTTCTTTCCAAATATATGTGGTGTGGCTTATATACGGGTACCCCTTATAGTCCAGAAAGTGTGAGTGCATATATGTTTTCCTGAACCTCGACAAAGTACAATTCTAACATTTTGTTTAAGCCTGGGCCTACAGTAAGATTGGCACTACATTATGAACCATCTATCATTTCATGCAAATTAATATGAACATTTCTCATCATTTGGCCTAATTTCTATAGGTCTGTTGTTTTCAAATGGTAATGGCTGAACGCTGACGGCTTTTAACACAGCCAACACTGCATTTTCACAAAAGGCACGTACACTTTTAATTCCTATGCCCATTATGGCTCTTTTCTCTCTACATTATTCATCGGCTTCCCCGCCATGACATAATGCACATTTACAAGCGTACGTAGCAGTCCAACCAAAGCAAATAATTAAAGCACATAAGTGGCCGACAGATGAGGAAGAAGGAAAAATGACGAGTGAGTAATTGATTAAAGAAATGGTCTGCACCACAGTCACTCTGCTGAATTCCCCCAGAAAACAGTAAAGTTAAAGCTGCACTAACTGACTTTGGGATTTTGAAGCCGCGGACCCGCTGGCCTCACTCTTTCTGCTCCCCTCCCCGCACCCACGAAGCTATCGCCCCCCACACACACTCACTGTTGGGACATGTACATGGAATTGCACGTGGATGGCGTGACCATAGAACGATAGAACCGGGAAGCGCGGAGGAACAGGACTTTCTTTTGGATGGCTGTCTCGCTGTGTAAGCAGTAACCAGTGACGAAGACAGGTTAGCTCCGCTGCTTGTTGTGCTAACTCAGCTGTCTATGCTAACAGGGACCTGTAGATTTCTCACAAAAGTGGGGGCCAGTGGTCCGCTGCGATTGGTCACAATCTGCGACCCGAAACACATTCTCTTCCTTGTTTCATCAAAACTCGATCTAAAATATAATGTCACGCCAGCACAACCCTGTGCTAATTTTTCTTCAAAAGGACGTATATCCCAATGCACTGCATAGACATGGATAGCATTTTCGTAATGAATACGAAAATAAAGTTAGTGAGTGCAGCTTTAAAAGTAGGAAAACAGATGCATCTCTCCAGCTCATGACTTTGACAATGACAGTTTAAAAACTTTTAGTACTTATCCACCTCCGACTCCAGCTCCTACCCTTCAAATCAAAAATCTACAACTATTCCCACACAATGCTATTAGAATTGCTATTATGCACTATTGAAATTGTTTGGTTATTGACCAGTGGGGGGCGGGTCCCGGCTCAAAAGTGGCCAAAATGACGTGCGCTGACATGCTTGCAAAACCACCTGGGCCGATGGGGATGGACCCGGAATAAGAATAAGCCAATGCTAACATATCTTTACAGGATGGTCCAAAAGTTGGCTCTTGGCCCAAAACTCCGCTCCGCATGTGTGTCAATGCTGAGGGGAGTGAACTTTTTTGGACCAGTCTAGTTTAGTCGCTGTGAATTTTTGAAGGCACTCATTAAACGAATGGGACTCGGCTGACGCATGCTCAGATGCGTTTTTTCACATTTTCCAGCCCCCGCGGCCATTTTGAATCACTCCATGAGATCCCAATTTTTGGCCCATTAGTTAGAACGGCGGAGATAGGCGTGACTACGTCTGTTAATATTTACAGTCAATGGTTAAAACATGCCCCAAGTCCTGCAACTACACAACAAGGCAAGGCAAGTTTATGTGGATAGCACAATTCCTACACAAGGCAACTCAAATTTTGTATTTGAGTTGTAGCTATTTTGTATCCTGTTTAATGTAGTTTACTTTTGGTGTACATACGTTTGAAAAGTACTATACTTTGCTAATATTTGATGATTTGGATTGTTTTTATTGGTAATGTTATAGGTTCTTCTGTGACCCAGTTCAAATCCGGGTTAAAAACAGTTCTGTTTAGCTATGCATACAACTGAGCGATTTTATCTTGCCTTTTGTAACAGTATAATACGGATCCTTCGTGCACCTCCCTGACATTTCATGCAACTCGTTTCCCGTTTTTTGATTTGAAAATCCAAATAAATCCAAAAAACAAATTTCTTTGCTTTCAGCCTTGTTGGCAAATGTAACTTGCTATTAGCCAAACTAATGTTTTCTATGAAACACTGAAGAGTGCCCCATAGGGCTGGGATAAACTATTATTTTTTTAAACGATTAATCTAGCGATTATTTTTTCGATGCATCGATTATCTCCCCATTAATTGACTAATATCATTGTATACATCGTGTGCTGTTTGTTGATTTACATATCTGAATGAAAAAACATGAATTCCTTAACCAAACTAGAGGTAGCATAAAACCTTGAAGCCTTGAAAACACATCTAGCTTGCTGAAATAAGTGCATCTTAATATTCTTCTTTCAGATGAAAACAATACTTGATGTTTAGTAAGTAAGTAAGTAATCTTTATTTATATACCGCCTTTCACAGACCAGAGTCACAAAGCGGTTTACAATTGTTATTTTTGGGCACTTGTCCTCTCACTCCACAGAGAGATGGGAGCGGGGTCACCGAACAGGAGGCGCATGCCAATCCTATTATACATATTTTTAGTGGTAGGGGAAACCGGAGTACCCGGAGGAAACCTACGCAGACACGGGGAGAACATGCAAACTCCACTCAGAAAGGCCCTGGTCCGGCCGGGATTCGAACCCAGGACCTTCTTGCTGAGAGGCAAGGTTTAGCATTTAATAAAATAAAAAGAGGTTCACCCAAAATACTTGTTTAGAGCAACTGAAAAAATACAGTAACCAATGTAAACTTGAGGGCTCTAACCTAAAGAGAGAGGGCTTTTCTAGCAAAAAATAATGTAAATAAACATTTAGAATTCAACAGTTATGTTGAACATAGACCTAGCTTACTGTAAAAATCATTGTGTGCCATTGACGCACAAATACGTCAAAGTAAATAGTAACGTTGTGTGCCATTGACGTCAATTGCCTTTCCCGCTATTTTCACGTTCCCAGACGTCTATTGTATCTAATGTGTATGGGGATGGCTTGAGACCATATTTTATCGAGCCAGCAGGTGGCAGCATTTCTCTCTGAATGGTTTGAAAACAGTTTGGTGCACATGTTGTGCCTCTTTTTTCTCAACATTCTGGTGATTTCAGTAAAACTTCCCTCTACTCGACGGAGGATTACAGGGGAACGAAACAAGCTAGAAACAAAATTCTTTTTGCTGATGAAAGTAGACAGGCCATTCTTTTAGAATCTGGTGTCGGATTACAGATAGTCATAGTACACAATATTCTGTGGGTCTTTAAAAATCAGTAAAAAACCATCAGAAACGGCTGGCAATATGGAAGTACCTGTTAAGAGCCAAAGCAATTTCCAAGTCTGTGACCTCCTGTTACTTACGTGGCAATAAAAATGATTCTGATTCTGATTCTGATTCTGAAATGGGCTGGCAGTCAATGTTAACTAGCGCCGCTAGAATGTAGCGCCGATAGCATGTAGCTAGCGGCGCTACATGCTAGATGCGATGTGGAAGTACAGTCTAATAATACAATAAACCGATGGCGCACCTCCGTGAACACATACTGCTGTTATATAAAGTCTCTGGAAGGTCTCTGGACACAGAGCCGCTGCAGAGCTGCCTTCTTAGAGAAGAACTGCACACAAAAACCTGCTAGCTTATCCCCGCTAGCTACACCCCGCTAGCATCAAAGCACTTCTGCTAAGTCTATGAATAAAATAAACATATGGCGCACCTCCGTGAACACATACTACTGCTGTTATATAAAGCCTCTGGAGGGTCTCTGGACACAGAAACGCTACAGAGGTGCCTTTTTAGAGTAGAACTGTACACAAAAAGCCGCTAGCTTAACTAGTCTGGTCTCTCACCCCAAGCCTCTGTAATTTAGAGAATGAGAGTGGAAACTGCGTTCCAGCGTCAGCGGTCTGAAGGCACTCTGCCATCTTTGTTTTCAGTATGACGAATCGACGCACATATTTTGTACCGACGTATTTTTTGCGTCGACGTCATCGATTACGTTGATGCGTTGTCCCAGCCCTAGTGCCCCAAGGGGTTATTGTGGCTTCCAAGGACCATTATGCTAAAGCTAAATCACCTTTTTTCCATTTCATCCATTTTACAATTGTTTTTCCCAAACATCAAAACATCCCCATCACAAAGTCCTCTGTGATCCAACTCGCTATCAAAGCTACGGAGTCCTTTTCTGCATTAGTAGAACTGTATTTTTGTCTAAAGTACTTGATGAAAATTGCTGCGATGCTTTATACTGTTATCGAGATGAATGTAAATATTCTATTGGCAACTTCTCGACCTGCCTGACTGACCTGATTGTACATTAAATACATTTATTGCACATAAGATACTCTATATATTTTCAGGTTGTTTGCACATTTCCTGTCTTTTTGCCCAGAGTGATCCTATTTATGCCAAATGTAACATGTACATTTCTCCATTGTGGTGTCAATAAAGTTTCATCTCATCTTATCTCACATCTTATTCACAAGCTTCTATAACAGTCTGAAATGGGACCCGCATCAGGCTGTTTCCCCCTGACAGGGCAGGGTGACATTCAGAGCTCTCTTGAGTGCAGTAAAGTGTGTTGTACCGTCTTGGGGCAGTGCACATAGCGGGCCAGGCTGATGATCAGGTCGTGAGTGATGGGGTCCACCAAGTTCCGGAAGCTGGCGTATCTGTACAAAACATCGTCCAGAGAAGTCGACTCCATCCCCAGGTCCTGCAGAGACACAGACGATAAAGGTCAAATCCAAAAGTTATAGCATCGTCTGGATTGTGGTTAAAAAGTATACCAGTATGATGTGGTGATGATCCAGGACACTCTAACATTCCTCACCATTTATGGACATTGTCAACTATTAAGACACTATTTTTTGTGTCTTAATAGTTGATTCTCTGATCTGTATTGAGGATTTCAACTGTTTTGTTAAGTCCTCTGAGATAACTACTGTTGTGATGTAGGGCTAAACAGGAATACATTGAATTGAAATGAATGATTCAAATCTTTTTGTATAGCTCTAAATCACAACAGCAGTCGTCTGGGAGGACTTTACAAAGTTGTTGATTAGCCTCCTAAGGCATCGGCAAGGAACAACTAAAAAACCCAGTGGGAAAAAGAGAGAACCCTCAGGGAGACCCACGACAATCCGCACAGTAGTTCAAAAAGCTCTCAATCTTTTGCAGACACAATCTTCCTATATTGATCAATTTCTGCACTGTCAAGCAATGAATGAGGATTAAACCAGCTACAGTCAAGGGAACACTTTCTATACAAGCACAAGTTTATGCTTAAATAAAGTGTGGTGACAATGGATGTTTTGACATGGCTCCAAGAAAGCTGACATAACTAGATGTGTACCGTAACAGGCAATGAGTTTGAAGCTTCTAGACAAAAGTGGTCTCAATAATACCAGTATAATGGACATGCATATGGGTGTTAGAGTCAGTGTTAGTACGGCCTGGTATTTAGTTGGACCAAGTAAATACAAATTGGCTCAAGCGTGCACTCTCACCGACCCCAATGCACACGTGAGTATGACAATGAAGAGAAAGTGCCTGACATGACATTTTGTGTCATTGTGTGAGGCTGTACACAGTTGAAGCTGGTATTTTTGTTTGACCAAAGAAGAGGAAAAGCGGGGAAATGGGGAAGAGTGAGACAGAGGATAAGGGGACGGGAGGGAGACAGCATGGGGTGGAGAACAGAAGGGAGGAAAATGAGGAAAAAAAATGAGCGGTGACAGTCACAATCCACAGAGTAGTTCAGGTACTAGTTCCCAATATTTTAAGTACACACCCATCTAGAGAAGGCAGTGTACTAAGTTTGATGATACATTCTTCCTTCTGTGCATCTTCTGACTTTTGTAATTGACATACAGTGTATATGTGAACTCTTTTTATTTTATGTTTTTAAATGTGAAGCGCTTGTCTGTAAAAAGCTCTATAAAAATAAACTGTACGTACTTGCTAACTGTCTGTGGTCCACTCCAGGATGATGGCCTTGAAATTGGAGCAGAGTGCCCATTTCCTTCCAGTTCAATATTGCAGTTATTTATTGAATGATAAGTGACTAAATAAAGCCAATCTCCAAAATGACATGGACTAAGAAGGTTTACAATCACTTTCAAAGTGAATAGTCAATGGTTTCAACAACCACGTGTGTCACCTCTGTTCTCTGGGCTCATGCTCAGAGCCTCCACCAGAGACTCAGAGGGGACTGTGTGCTCCTAAAGCTCAGAACATACTTTTGACAATCTAGCTTCTCCTTTTCTCCTTCTCCTTCTCCACGGGACAACCGATGAAAATTACCTTAATATAACTAACTCGGGCACATTGTGTTGATTAATGTGCACTGTCCCGTTTCAAATGTAAAAAAAAAGAAAAGGGGTTTCAAATGTGGAACTCTCTCCCCACTGGACTAAAACTACAGACTAATGTTAGTATTAGATAGCAATATGGCCTACGTGCAGGACTGTACAAGGACTCTACAAGGACTCCATGTTATGACTATGATGTGACTGTCTCTTTGTGACACGTATGTCTTTCGATGTGTGACGTGACAATGACTATATAAACTGTGTACTGCCTTTATTCTGTCTGAGAGAAAGAAACAGAGTAAACCAGTGGAACTTGAGAGAAACTTAAATAAACTTCCAGAGTTTGGCGCACCACGATCCGTCTCTGTCTGCTTCATCCCTGACACTAACATGATCATCTTCAGCTCAAACAGTGGTTAAGATCCAGACAGAGTTATTGTCACATAAAATTGTAAATTGTTTGAAATGTATTTTATCTGTAAAAGCCCCCTGTGGACTAGTGTTGAAAACTATGTGCTATAACACTTACAGAAATGCATTTGGTTTGACCAATGTTATTGTCATGTTAATATTATATAAACTGCTATTGCCACGCTTTCTTTAATTGCCTTTTTATTGTACATAATATATCCTGAACAGACTATATTTTTTACCTTTAACATGTTGCACACTTATGTCTTTAGCACAATCTGAGTGATCCTATCTATGCCAAATGTGACATGTAAATTTCTCCAGTGTGAGATCAATAAAATCTATCTTATCTTATCTTATCTTAATGATTGGGGGATAAAAAGCCACTATTATTCACACCCAGCCCAGCAGACACCAAGGTCACTTAATGTAGTGTGAAATTTGTAAATGCTATCAAAAACATGGACTTAAAACCTCTTATCCTCTTATAAACACCTTAACATGCCGTTGAATAGTCTCCAGTTTAAACTCTAAGGAAATACATCATTGGCCTGAGCTCTGGAGTGCAGTAAAGGCCACAGACTCCCCTGGCACCACGACAGCTCACGGTCCGTGGACTTCTGCCAATTGGATTAAGACCAATCCATTAATCTTTTACCGTCTCGCCCAGCAGAGTGGTCCAGGAAGCATCGCAGTGGGCAGAGAGTATCAGGTACAGCTGCAAGTCGGAGTAAGAGTATTTATAGGTCTATTCTACTCATGTGACATCATTTGATCACTATAGTTTAAGCTGGAGGATGAGTCATTGCTCTGTAGAGTGGAGCAATTCTCGGCTTTATTGCAAATGTTTAAATATATTTTTAACCTGGTGTATAATTAAAGCATGTGACAGCATTATGGAGTCGAAAATAACCTTGAAATTAGCCATACTGTACTTTGAAAGATTTCCAGTGGGAATATTGGGTCATTTTAATGTCATAGTTTACATGAATATAGCTAAGTAAACAGTATTCTTTTGTGGAGATGCAAGCCCACTTATTTCAGTCATTCCACCTTAAAGGTTAGATACTGGGACCACTTAAATAACTGCGGTTTAGGCCTGTTATGGTTGGGCTATCAAATTGTTAAAGCTGGAGTACATAACTTTTTCACTAATAAATAATAACTTATAAGGTATTCCCGACAGAAAAAAAAATTTAGTGAACAAAATAGACCACGGAATTCTGTCTTCATATTATTATAAAACATGTTATATCTTGCATACTTGTTACTATTTGATGCTTTGACTGGCTTTGGCTGAGTGAGGGTGGTCCTTTTTTACAAGACTAATAATAGAACTAAACTGTTTTGAGAACTCATTTTGAGAATTTTATTACATAGTTAAATATTTTGTGAAAATCAGATTCTCCATATTTAATATATTAATTTGGACCATATCATCTAACAGGTTTGGGTTTATGCAATATAAGTCATTAATGCACCTTTAATTAAGAAAACATGACAAACATCATATCAAAATACACTGGTCTGAAAAAAAAGATAATTTCTGATAATAATTAAGTCCATGGAGTCCCTATCTGTCTCAAAGACATCTGCTATTTTCTCAGTTGCCATGGTTTTCCTGTGAATGTATTGATATTACTTAGCTTTAATATAGCATGCATTACCTATGATTTCAGATTTCACACCTTTTCCTCACACTAGTTTCACACTTACAGAAAGCACTAAGTATTCAGGGGGAAAGGCCACAATATGCTGATCGTCTGTGTCTTCAACCTATGTTCAAAGCTCTACAAGATCTTCCCTCAATATTTCTATCAATTGTGATAACATTTCTTGGGACTGAACCAAAAAAATGTTTTGTTCAGTGCACACTTAGTAAACAACTGAAGGAGCCTTGGCATTTGAGAGAAAATTAAAAATGTTTTTAAAGTTAGTGGGACAATGTGCATTAATAAACAGAATAGACTGTAAATTCACCGGATTTAGCTCATGGTTGGAAATCAAAGAATCATTTAAAAAGGTTTATTCAAAATTCTGCAATGTTCCATTGAACATGTACTTGAAGACAAGAATGTTACATAACTTTATTCATCGCAGTCACTTGATTTGCGACTTTGTTAATGTTGCAGCACCTGCTCATCAGCTTATCTTTACATGATTAACTATTTAACTTCTCATATCCCAAATCATTTAAATAAATAATAAATAAATCAAAATATGAGAAAAAGTTAGGGCTTTATACTGTATTAGTTTGGCGAAAGACCTTGTTTGAATCTATGAAATTAAACTCAAGTAGTTTTTGGCTAAATTAAACGTTAAGAAAGAAAGCGCTAAGGCCTGAGGAATGTTTAATTGACATTTGTTTGGTGCGATTTTAGACACGCCTTTCTAAATTCAACAGAGAAAGAGGATCCACCCCCACACACATAGACAGGTATGACTCACAGAGGTCTCCATGTGACCCATTGTCTGCGGAGGGAGAGGCAGCGCAATAAGGACGACAGCTTTCAATGATCCACTTTAATCAGCTGCAGTTAAAGGAGCCAGGCAGGGATTCGACAGGTGTGTGTCTGACAAGCAGCCACTGCAACTGGACACTACTGGACACTCAGTGTGTGATCATAATTCATTGCAGTGGGCAGTGGTGTGAAATGGTCAAGGCCATCTGTACACATATATATTTATTTATTAAACAAAGCAACGTAGAGTAAAACTATTGCAGTTAGATCAGTGGTTCTTAACCTTGTTGGAGGTACCGAACCCCACCAGCTTCATATGAGTATTCACCGAACCCCTCCTTAGTGAAAAATAAAATAGGATTTTTTTCCAAATTTAAAGCATATATGTTTTTTTACTGGTGTACAAAATGAGCCGTGCATGAATATCACCTTTATTCAAAGAACAAACGCAACACAATGCATAAACTCACAACAACTATATGCCTGCAAATCAGTGTGACTTCTGCTGTTGCCTTTTAGAAACCAGTTCAGATATGCGTGGCTTCACCTTGGCAAGTGCCACTCTCATGTCATTTTCACAGCAAAGTCTGTTCCTTTTCTTCGTTTTTATGTCCAACATCCTCGAAAATGATTGCTCGCAAAGATAAGTTGTGACAAATGGTATAAAAAAATCCAGAGCTTTCTTTGCAGTAACCGGATACTTGTCCATTTGCCGACACCAAAACGTTGAGAGCGTTGTTGTTTTGAAGAGTTGCTGTTGAACCTGGCTCTGCTGTATTTCAATGATTTCGTCCAAGTGTTCATCATTGACATCTTCTGTCTCAACATCAAACGTGAAAGGCTGTCTGACCCATGCTGGATACGACTCTCCTGCAGGGAAATATCCGTCGAGAGACTTTTCAAGCTCGTCTAAGTGCGTGGCAATTGTTTGCTTCAGCTCTGTGGATACAGAAATATCTCCGATTCCAGACACATCTTCGATCTGACTTACACAGTCGTCCAGAAGGGGGAAATTGGCAAAGTTATTGTTCTCTGTTCTTCGTTTCCATAACGGTAGCTTTTTTTTAAAAGCCTTCAGGTGTTCTTCCGCTTCCATGATATTGACTCCACCACCCTGCATCTGCTGATTGAGATGATTGAGAGCTGCGAATATATCAGCCATGTACGCTAAAATGAGAATTAACTCAGGATTTTTGAAGAAATCTGCATGACGGTGTTGGTTTTCTTGCAAAAACAAGGCTAATTCCACACGCATAGCAAAAACACGATTCAGCACCTGTCCCCGGGATAACCACCGAACATTAGAATGGTACAGAAGTACTTCAAATTCAGAGCCCATTTCTTTACACAACTCACTGAAGAGGCGGTGCCTCAGAGCACTATTTCGGACATAGTTCACACATTCTACCACAGTTTGTAAAACTTCTGCCATTTTTGGAGGCAAGGTTTTTGTTGCCAACGCATGCCTGTGTAGAATACAATGCGTCACAATGATGTGCGGTGCATCAGCTTTTACTAGCGCACCAAAACCAGACTTTCTTCCCAGCATGACTGGAGCTCCGTCCGTACAAATTGCAGAAACCATATCCCATGAAAGATTGTTGTCTCTGAATACACCATCCACAAGCTTCTTCACATCGGCTGCCTTAGTTGTTGTTGTAAGAGGCTTACAAAATAAAAACTCTTCTTTTATCATGTCGTCTTTCATATATCGCACAAAAACAGCAAGCTGGCTTAGATTCGAAACGTCTGTGCTCTCGTCGAGTTGAAGGCTGAATTTTGTCGGGCTTGCAATTAGATCCGCGACTATTTGAGCCAAGATGTCTTTACTCATGTCCTCTATTCTGTCGCTGACGGTGTCATTTGATAGAGAAATTTTGGATAATTTACCTTCGGCCTCTGTTCCGAGTATCAGCTTCGCCATCTTTAACGCAGCTGGTTTCACAAGTGTTTCACCGATGGTGTGTGGCTTGCCTTGCTTTGCGATCAGGTAAGCAACTTCGTACGATGCTGTGAGGATCGGTTTGTTAACGGGTACAAATCCAAGAGCAGGCAGAGTGGCCCTTTCATCAAATCTGGCTCTCTTTACCTTGAATTCAGCAAGTGTTGTGTTCTTGTATTCCCCGACTCCATGCAACTTCAAGAAGTGTTCCTTTAGTTTTGCCGGTGCGAGACTAGAGTTGCTCAACTTGGCATTGCAAATCATGCAGATGGGACGCTCACTCCCATCACGTTCCGTGAAACATGTGAATCCATGTTGTACATATTCGTCCGACCACTTTCTTTTTTTGCACGACATAGTTAGTATGGAAGTATTAACAAAATATTAACAAAGAAATCACACGCGTACTACTACGACAGTCACAAGTTGGGACGGGCTTGGGCCTCATTTGGCGCTCAGCTGTCGGGTTCCTGCCGGGCTCGGGCTTCTTTTTTTAAATATATGTTTCTTTTTTATTATTATTATTATTATTTTTAAATGATTATTATACATACTGATATGCATATATATATATATATATATATATATATATATATATATATATATATATATATATATATATATATATATATATATATCTATTAATAACAATGTCCGTTTAAAAATAGTTAATATATTAATGACGCCGTAACCAGCGTGTCCTACAGCAGCACGCATCATCCCCGTGTCTCCTGCTGCATGCTGTGGTCAACAGCGAACAGGAACAATAGTAGAAATGGATCAAGTGGAGACAAAACTTGCAATTGGAAGGTGAGTGCGTACAACGGGAAATCAGATGTGTCGGGTTCTGTCGGGCTCGGGCCTGTTATACAGCATTCATTGGTCGGGCTTATACGGGCTCGGGCTTAACATTAGCGGGCTCGGGCCGGGTCGGGCTTCATTTCTCAGGCCCGAACGAAACTCTAATCTCTGCTACAGCCAGCTGTCTGGATCAGCCGGCTTGAGAGCTTCAATGATTATCTCAGTGGTTCTGACGTATGCTTTTATTCATTGTTTTAAATAAGCAACTTGCTTATTTACTGACTTCTGTCTGGAATTCTCAATAGTAGTTGCGGATACATTGGCCGAGATAGATAATTTAGCGGCGGAGGCTCTGCCGAACCCCTGACACCGACTCACCGAACCCCTGGGGTTCGATCGAACACCGGTTAAGAACCAGTGAGTTAGATGGTGCTGCAGCAGAGATGCTCAATATATATATATAAATCTTTAAGCATGAACTTCTATCTGTTTAAGATAGTGCAAAATACTCCTTATGTTGTAACTGTCGTTTTGCCTTCTCATCACGGAATGTTGCATGTGTAACAATCTCTATCCAGTGCTGTTGCACACAGTTCATTACTTTGGAAAACAGCAAAGTAATCAACTGTGATACACAAATAATTCTGCAGCTTTCTACTTTTATTTCAATATGTGGAACAAAAATATAGATATACTATGTATAACTTCAGCATAATAAAGAAACAAGAAATAAGTATAACATCTCTGACTTAAGTATATAATATATAAGTAAAAAATAATGTATATTCTGGTGCAAGAAATATATAGCTGTATATTTGCATCTGTACATGTTAGCAGCATGAGACAAAGTGACTAAAGTGACAGTGGACACACGTGGTTTCATTTTAAACTTTAGTTGAAATTAGTTCCACGGAATTCCTTTACGAACTGGCCCTAATCGCAGCATCAGTAAAACGTGGTTACCAGGATATTTCAGGATATTTTTCACTTTGAGGAACTATTGAATCAGAATCAGAATCATTTTTATTGCCACGTAAGTAACAAACAAAGTTACCACTTGGAAGGTGCATATGAGGGATAGTATGAACTGTGCCGTCTGTTGGACATACTTTTGTGACTAAAGTCAGAAACACATTCTCCACATTTAAATAGAACAAATGTAACTTGATAGCTTGTGATGAAGAGCGACGTGAGTGACTATGAAGCCAGTGGCCAAACGCTCATGCACGTGAATACTTAACTTGAACCAAAGGTTTTGTCACAGATAGAAACTGGATACAATACTAGAATTGGATACATAACATTGGAAATGATAAGAATTTATAAAAGCGTTCAAAAGCCTTGTACATAATACACTGGAGGAAGAGAGTGGTCAGTGAGAGTCCTCGATGAAATCAACATGACAAAGACTGAATCCAAGAGTCCGCTTCCTCTATCACTGTATCACTGAACACGAAAACAGGGAAACGCCATGTGCTCTGTGCTCATTATGGACCGCCACACTAATTAGACCCAGTCCACATGAAAAACCTCAAGCAGCGTTCCTCTGATGAGCCCAAGTCTAGTCTCTGTCCAGCCAGGTACAAATGAGCTGAAATACAGTTATTTAGTCCTGCCTCAGAGGATCTAACACTGACCTTTAATAAAGATCATGTGATATATGCACTTTCATCATGGATCTCACTGACATACATCCTGGCATTAGGAATCCTTTAGGAACACTGGCTGCATTACAAAATGAAAATATATTCACTATAAGATTAGGTTAAAATTAAGGTCAAACCCTCTCTTACTTTATAATATGTTGTGTTGCGGTTATCGATATGATTTTGGGAAATAACTACCAACAAAAAGGCACCACAACTAGAGCTATACTCAATCATGGATAGACAGGAGAAAGCCACATTCTGCCTCATCAGGAGAGGTTTCACTCTTTTTGTCTAATGGGCTTTATGGATTTCACGCTTTTGAAAGCAGTGAAAAAGGTTAAATGCAGAGAGCAGCACTGAACAAAGGCTTGATCCTGAAAGAGTCTGATTAGGATTGAACACAGACGACTGGAGACGCACTGACAGTACTCAATCCTATGACTCATAGGATCAATGCAGCACCCAGTTGGGATCTGGGGAAACAATGGAGAACTAAAGGGGACCTGCAGAATCAACTTTTCACAGCTTTTGACAATGTTATAGTTGTTTTTTCTTGTCATGTACTCACTCATGCACCTCTTCCCTCACTCTTTTGACCACTGCCACCTCGCCCCT